GAACCCTTTAATGTGAGACTTTTCAGTAGTTCCTTCCACTTAAGAAAGTCAAGAAAATTATAGAACCAAACCATCAGTCCAAGAAAACCTATTCAACCTTATCATATTAAAAAAAAAAAAAACCTTAGAAAGTGTGTTTCTAAGTACATATAAATTTGTCTTTATTCCTTCTTCCTATGACTTGGTAGGCTCAATAAAGGGAGAGTATGCCTCAAGTGATCTATTTGAAAATAAAATACTTGGATGTATCTTGTTAAGCAGTGACTGATGGGACAATGCCATGACACTGTGTTAGGTGCGCCTCTAAGTTATTTCTTGGTCTAATTTCATTCTTCCCATCTATCATTTAGAGTACTACAGGCCATTATAGAATCTTGAAATTGATAGCAAATTTGGGAACACCTTCAAAAGACAAAATATAGTCTGAAGCTAACATTGACCACAGCCCACCTCCCTCCATGTGCTTTCTAATAACGATTCCCAAACCCTGACCCCACAACAACAATCAGTTATAAAGGCAAAGAAAAGCATTTCTCCCTATAAACTGAAATTTTATCAAAGTGGGCTGCCGTTAAATGCTCAGAAGACAGTGGAACAACTTTTCGTGGGTCTAAATGCTTTGCTGCCTGCCTAAACCTGGTGTATCTATGGGAAGTGGATTCAGTCTTTGTCAGAAAATCAGAATGAAAGAGGTGTGTGAAACAACCTAGCACCAGTTTATTGAAGTCTTTCAGAAAGATTTTCTTAGATGGATCTTTAACAAGATCAAAGAAAAAAGGACACAAACAGGAAAATGAAAGATACTAGTTAAGGTGACTTAATAGAAAGCATTATCTAAGAGCAAACAACAAGCTGATAACAGACAAAGAATTGACTCCAGAGAAACAAGAGAAGTTAGTTTGAATGTGGTAATGTTACTTCCGATTAGTGTTTTATTTGCCTGTAAAAGAAGATTATTCTCCAAATTTTTACTAAAATAATCATATGCCTCATGCTGACAATCCCTGCCTGAGACATGTGGTGCCATCCCAGATGTCATATTTATATATATTTATATAAAACACATAATAAATTAGAGAGAGTCCAAAAGTATATTGAAAATTATAACAAGCCCAGCGGAAACCAGTTTGGCTCAGTGGATAGAGTGTCAGCTTGCGGACTGAATGGTTCCAGGTTCGATTCTGGTCAAGGGCATGTACTTTGGTTGCGGGCACAACCCCGGTGGAGGCAGGAGGCAGTTGATAGATGTTTCTCTCTCATCAATGTTTCTAACTCTCTATCCCTCTCTCTTCCTCTCTGTAAAAAATCAATAAAATATATTTTTTTAAAAGAAAAAGAAAATTATAACAAGCCCAGAAATACATGGAGAAAATGAGAGTCATGAGAGCGGTTGTAACATATCTGAGAAGCTGTTGTGGGAAAAGTCCTGGATTAGGCTATAGCAGACTTCCCAGCTCTGTTACCAGCTAGGCAAGTCACCCTTTGCTAGCAAATAATTTCTCCACAAAGTGGTCAAATCTGAGGTCAGCCTAAATGATCTTAAGTCCCGTTAAGTTGTACAATGTTATCATTTTTAAAGTCATGTTTATTACAGTCAACACCTATGCTTTGCTGAACTGAATCATTCCATGTGGATACAAGAAGATATAGGTAAAAATTATTCTACAAAAGAAATCTAGCTCAAAATTAGAGCTTTCAACAACTAAAATTGTGCAATAATGGAACCAGTTGTTTCAAAAAACAGTGATATCATTTTTTATGAAAATATACAGGCATGTGCTAAAAGCTGTGAACTCTACGACTGCCAGTCTCTTCCAAACCTAAGATCCCATAATTCTTCATGTCCAATTTACCAAATACCTTTCCTCAAGATCTCAAGATTACCATTTCTCACTGATGTAAATCACTTGTGCCAGGATTTCATATCTTTGTTGTAACTAGTCCATCTCTACGTTAAGTTGCTATTGTGCTTTTCCAGCTTCATGGACATAGTTCCTGGCTCCTGTTGACACAGGATGCTCTCCCTTTTGGTTACCCTCAACATTCTTATTTGGTGCAGGTCTTGGGGAAACTTCTTGAAATTGCTTTAAAGGCTACCTATAACCTTATAATACCAGTGATGTTACCATGATATGGATACATGGGTAATGTTATCAGCTCTTTTACCAGGTGCCAAGCATGTGCTATGCAATACCTCATTGAATCCTCTCCATAACCCTATGAGGAATGTGTTATTATCGTATTCGCTTTACAAATAAGGAAACTCAAGACTCTGGAGAGTAAGTTCCTTGCCCAAGGTAACTGAGCTAATAAGAGGCAGAAGAATCTGGACTTGCACCCTGATCTAGCTAATGCCTCTAAAAACTCTCCTCTCAACTACCATGCTCTACAGTAGTGGTTTGCAAAGTGTGGTCCCTGTACCAGCAGCCTCAGCGTCAGCTGGGAACTTGCTAAAAATGCAAAGTAGCACAACTACTGAGTGAGGAACTCTAAGGGTGGGCCTCAGCAATCGTGTCTTAACAAATCCCCCATGTAATTCTGATGCTTGAGAACTACCTGGATTTGGAACTACTGCTCTACTGACCTGAACATTTACCTATAAGGCTATCCTTCTACTCATTTAACCACTTTTTTTAATATTTTAATTTGAAAGCGTGTGGTAGCTTTTTAACCTTTCCTAAGGGGGAAAAAGAGAAATCATAGATATAGTAACATCAGGTTTCCTGCCCCTTCCCTGAAATAGGAGGGCTGATCCTTTGCCATGCTTCGTAAGGGGAGAAGAGAGCTGCTGCTTTAGCATGTAAATAAAGGGGAAACAAGGACAGAGAAAAATGCTTTTTGCAGTACAGCTAGGCTGTTGTGGTTAGACATAATAAGTGAATTGACCAGGAAGATTCTGACGTTCCCCTAGAGTCTTCAGACAATAAATAACATTGTCTACTTAAAATAGTGAAAATAAAACTCCTTCCTGCATGTATACATTTTTTTAGAAAAAGAATATATACATCAACTGCAAGAGTGTTTCAAAGGCAGCATAATCAGTGGCAGCTATCATCAGCTCTCTTCGGTTTAAAAAATAAAAATCCCTTTAGCATTGCAGCTCATGCTGCCTTGAATGTGACCTTGATCTTTTTCAAGCTTATCTTTAGCCCGTAGCACCGTGCAACTCGGCAAATCAGACCATAATCTCTTTACTGTCTCCCTGCACGTGCAGTTTTAAAGCTCCATCATCGGCATATAAACCATCCTTTACTTCAAGGTCTCTGGAGATACGTGTCTCCGATCAGGTACAAGGACTTTCATAAGGTCACAGTGGGGGCGGGGTGAGGGGGTGAGGAGGGGTGGCAATTATGAGTGCTATGTAAATCCTCTGTAGAACAGGATGATTTCTCCGCAGGTGCAGGTTTACCTGAGAAAGATAATGAGTGCCTTTGAGTTCTACAGAAATGAAGTAGAACAGGAATTGTGTTACTTCACACTTGCTTGAGCATAGGGGACCTCATTCACCCTGCTAACAGAGTTCCTGGACCAGAATAATGCATGGTTCATTGTATTATCCAAGATTGCTCTTGGATGTGTGGATCTGAAGTTAGTTCTTTGTTATATCCCCTTTGTCTTCCCTCCTCCCAGAAAGAATTGTACAGAGGCAGTGAACTAATGGGTAACAGTCAGCATATCTTCTTATAAGACAATGGAAATACGGACCTTATCACCCAATCTCCTCCAAGTCCCTCCCCAGTGTGGCCTATTCTCATCTACCAGCACTCAGGAACGCAGGAAGCCAGAGCTCTGGGACAGGCCAGCATAATAGATCCAAGGAGTTCTCTACACACTATCTTCTATCAGTGAAACTCTTATTTCAACATTATGTCCCTTAACTTTAAAGAGAAAACCAGAGAAGATTAAAAAAACACACACACACACTTCAAATAATAGACCCTGAACATAATGATAATTCAGCATGCAAAAAAGGATAAGCCACCAAAACCGGTTTGGCTCAGTGGTAAGAGCGTCGGTCTGTGGACTGAAAGGTCCCAGGATCGATTCCAGTCAAGGGCATGTACATTGGTTGCCTACCGGGGGTGTGCAAGAGGCAGCTGGTCGATGTTTCTCTCTCATCGACATTTCTAGCTCTCTATCTCTCTCCCTTCCTCTCTGTAAAAAACTCAATAAAATATATATATATATTTAAAAATAAATAAATAAATAAATAATTTTAAAAGAATTTAAAAAAAAAGATAAGCCACACTAACTTTAAAATTGCTTTAAAGACTACATATAACCTTATAATAATACCAATACAGCTATCAAATTAAAGTGCAAGCTATCAAAAACCATCCTCTCCTTTCTTTATTCACTCATTTATTTATTCAATATTAATAGACCAAAACATATGCTAGACGGTATGTAGAAAATACCAACCTGCTCCTCATGTCCTGCTCAACAAGCCAAGCAAGAGGAAATGGACTCAGAGCGAAAAGAACATATTTTGATTGGCAGGAGTAAAGACACTAAATGGTTCAATCAATGGAGAAGCCTCTGAAGACGCAACAGTGAGCAATGCTACATCCTGAATCATGGGTTCACACTGCTGTCTGTCTGAAGGCAGTCGTCAACACCTCTCGAGATCCTTCCCAGTCGGGGTTGCAAATGCATTCCTGAAAAATGGTTGTATAAGAACTGACCTCTGCCCAATGTCTCTCTAACTGAGGTCCAAAGATCACTAAGTTTCCATTTAAAAATAGACCAATATAGTCAGTTGTAAGAGCAAAAATGAACATTTAGTTGCTTTATCCACTATACTGGGTATTTTGTACACAAAAATTTCACTCATGATCTTATGGAAATTATTCCCAACTTTTGTAATATAATGGATTATATCCAGAGGTAGTGAGTTTAATTCTAGGTTTTCATCTGGATGCTTAATACTGTTTTATATGCATTTATATATATTGACAACTAAACATGAAGTACTGTTTAATGATCAAAGTACGACTTACCCTTGCCATATCCACCAAGAAATTCTCAAATAATTTCCAAATGTGGTTACTTGTGTAAATCTCTTTCATTTCCACTTCAGTGTCAACGTAACAGTGATTAACGAAATTCACATATGCAATTTTAACCTGTGAAAGTTTCAAATACAAAAGGACGTGAGTTTTCTTCATTGTTCTTTTTCAAATATCAATTATGAAAATTTAAATAAAATCTGTGTTAGTTCCCATAATACCTTATGGCAAGCTTTGTGACTACCCAGAAAGCAATCCCATCTCCCTCCTTTTACTAAAACATGCCATCCCTTGAGCCAGGGTAAACACATGACCTTGTATTCCATTCTTTGGGGCCCAGAGGTCTTAAACCAAGTCTATCTATTTGAGACACTAGGAATCAAAACTGCTTCCTTTCCCTCTCCCCTTTTTTTCTCCTCCTCCCTCTCCTTTCTCCTCCCCTGCTTCTCTGACTCTGCCATATTCTTTCTCTCCCTCTCCCTCCCCTTGCCCCATTACTGTACTTCATTGCTAAAGTAGGACAAGGTAAAACTGAACTCCAAGAAGCCATCTTCTCTAGGCATGTAGAGGAAAATTATGCTCAGAAGAGAATAGGCAAAACCACAAAGAAAAAGCGAACAAGAGATGGAGAGAATGCTGACATTGTCCAAACCTCTTGATCCTTCTGAACAACTATCCTTCCAATTCCCAACTACAGATGTCAACAAAATCTCTGTATTTTTAAAATTTTAAATTAGTTGAGGTTAGGTTTCTGTCACTTGCAATCAAGAGAGTTCTAGTAAAATGCTTAAATGTGTGGACTACATAATACTTTATCATCATTTAAAAATATTGAAATTACTATTTCTGAGAAGAAACAGGTTCACAGTTTACAAAAAAAAAAAGTATTATTTTAAGATATAGTAAAATTCCTTTCCAGATTTAGCAAAATTCCTCATAAAGGAATAGGATGAGTCTCACCAACTTGTACTATTTTTAAAATGTGTAGGGCAGTAGTTTTTTTGTTTTCAATTTTCTTTTCTTTATTTTTATTGAAAATAGAAAGACTGTTACAAATATCCCCAGAAATGTGTATATGTGTGTGTATAATGTGTGTGTGTGTGTGAGTTATATTCATACATACAATCACAAATATATGAAATCATGTAAGCAATTTCAGGGGATTCCTAGAATCCAAGTTAGAACCACAAGGGATACAGGGTCAGCATTCATGTCCTCAGTGCTTATTCCTACTTGACCGAGGTCCAAGACACACTTTCAGTGACAGGGTTCCTGTGCAAGGTCTGACCACAGGGTAGGGTGACATCAGAGCCATTTGATATATTATCATAATCACCTTGACAGCAGCTAATATGTACCCATTGTTTGCTGCCTGTCCAACACCTTCAGCATTTTGTATATAATGTCCTACTTGATTCCATCCTCCAACAATCCTATCTGATCCATACTATAATTATGTCACTTTAAACTGTGGAAATTGGAGATTAGAAAGGTTAATAATCTATTGGAGCCAGTCAAACTGCTACCAAGTAATGGGTCCAGGATTCTGATTCATTCTTTATCTCATTCGTCCATTCATTCAAAACATATTTATTAAGTGTAGGTTTAGGCTCAGCCAATATAGTGGTAAATAGAAACAGACCTCATTGTTTCTAGACCTCAGTTGATTGTAGACCTAGACTTTATCAAGTTTATAATCTTAGGAGAGGGTATAAGAGCTACAGATATTAATAACTAATTAAATTCAAGTGTCAAATTTCAAATGATGGAACCTACTCCAGGAGGCCAGGAAATTCTTCCTTGGAGAAGTCATGCTGGAATCAAGATGTGAAGGAGGGAGAATGAAGTGGCACAATGTGAGAGGTCAGGGGAGAGAGCTGCGTGTGGGAAGGAGCCTGGGCAGGAGCAGGCCTCGGGGAAAGACAGAATCCATGGAGTTACTCACTATACTAGGCTTCCTTTCTTTTTTTCAAGCCAATCAGAGCATGAAGTACCTCTGGTTTGAGGTGCCAATAATCCCACAAAAATATACTTCAGGTCTATCATTACTACATAGGACGATTTGGAAGTAGGAAAGTTAACCTAACCTGATAGATTTGAAGTGACTCCTTTAAGATGTTTGGATTTATACCACATTCAGTGTAACACATTTATGAGCTTTGCAACAATACAGCACAGTAGTGATTGTTGCTAAAGAGGACATTACAATGTCCATTCCTGGAAACCTCGTTAATCCTGTTGGCAGACAACCAGTTTCTAATGAGTTTTGTTCCTTAGCACCAGAACCAAGCTGGACAGAGGGTAAAAGATGATGTGTGAACAAAACAAATTTCCAAGAACGCATCTGTTCTATAAAGCAAGGTGACCCTACAGAGTCCAACAGATGAGCCTACAGCCTCATCCATGCCTCTCCTACCAATGGCTGTGAATTATTTATGAAGGGTCTTCTTCATTCTCAAGAATATACTAGAAGTTACAAGTAAATCTTGCATTTTGCTCACAGGGCCATATTTAGAATTCAGAGACTCCAACAGTAGCTTCGAATGGCTATACTTTAATAAGGCTTATCACCTTTCGAAGCTTTTATAGAATGTAACAAGAGACCAGCTGGCATGGCTAAGTGGTTGAGCATCGACCTATGAACCAGGAGGTCACGGTTCTATTTTGGTCAGAGCACATGGCCAGGTTGGGGGCTCAATCCCCAGTGTTCTCATCGATGATGTTTCTATCTTTCTCTCCCTCTCTCTTACTCTCTGAAATCAATAAATATATATATATTTTTAAAAAATAACTAAATAAGGAAACACATTAATGCTCTCTTAAATTTTCACAATCATATAACTAAGCACAATCCCTTGACCAAATGTATTATCTCCTCATAAGTAGCAGAAAGGGAACTTCTGTCACTTACTTTAAATTAGTAGAATTCTATAGCTGCTAAGCTTTTGCCAGTCTTACCTCAGGGATGCAGTCATCATGGGTCACCACCCGCACTATGTCGTCCAGGGGCAGAAGGGAATTGCACTTGATTTCTGTGTAGACATTTTTCCCCTCTGTACAAGCTGCCAGCAACTCCACCAGGGTGATGTGGTAGGCCAAGGGGCCACTCTCATCCCCTCGGTCTCTCTCTGAACACATCATATGGAGAAGGATGGGAAATGATGCTCTATCATTGTAAAATATCAGCACATCTTCACCCCCATTTATCAACTGAAATGATAACAAGAGAGTCTACATAGCAGATCAAATACTCATCCTTGCAATCATTGCCAAAGGCCTGTTCTATCTAGAAACGTGTATCTCTTTGCAAAAACCGAGATAACATTGCAAAAGCAGAACTATACCAAAGCGGGATGGTGAAAGGATACTAGTCAGGTGCTCAGAGATCAGTCATGAACTCTACCAAAACCAGCAGGGGGGATATGGGAGTGGTAGGTGGGGCAAGAATTTCCTCGATAATCATAATACAAAATCATATTAGTTCCCACACACTTCTAGGCAATGAAGAACTAATATAAATGTAAATGTAGATAAGAAAATGGTAAATATCACAAGTTAAAATGTTCCTTAAAATGTTTAACAACAAAAATTTACATTAAAAATTCAAAGCCTTGCCCTGTGGCTCAGGTGGTTGGACATTGTGTAGCACACCCAAAGGTTGCCAGTTCAATTCCCATGCAGGGCACATCTTACTGTTTCAATATAGAAATCACCCTCATTCCAAAAGTTAAGGTACATAGTTGTGCAAATCCCCCCAAACAATATAATCTACTATATCATTTTTTGGTACCCATAGTTGAAAGATGTCTTCGTCCATACAGGCCTTTCAAAAGCCATTAGGTCACAGGGCAATGATTGACCCAAATGGGCTCAAAGGACTCTCAGTTCTCCATCAAACCCCTTGGTTCCTAGTGAGTCACTTACTCATTGCATAATTCTCACTCAGTTTCAAACATCACAATGAAAACGGCCAAATAAATTCAGTACTTCATTCATTTGTTCTCCTTAAACATTTAACTTACTCTAAATAGCTATGTTTTCACTTGTGATATACCACTGATGAAGAATTTCTATGAACTCAATTCCTTTCAAAACCCTCTGCAAATAGTAGTAGAGAACACCCATTTGAGATTTCAGGAAGTGTAATAAAGGCACTGGAAAAAGCAGAGTTTAATCCATTTTTGTAATACACTGAAAACTTACATATATAAAATGTTGTCACTTTCATTCTAAATAATCTACAACATTTTGTACGATTTCACCTTTATTTAAAATCCACAACTTCATCAAGAAAAAGAAAAGCTTTTAGAAAATTATAAAATCAACTTATGTTACTTCACTAGAGGTAAGCAACCATATATTTGTGCTTAAGTAGTCATGATTAAATTATTTTCCAAAGTCGTTTTTTTTTTATCCCCCTCGCTCTAAATTAACAAAAAAACACTTATTTGAGCATACTGTTTGTGTAAAGTGGGTAACGTGCAAACCGAGAACATACCTCTGTCATGACCATATCCTGGCATTTCTTCACATATTTACCATCTGCCTTTACAATCGTTTGCAAAAACCTCAGGTACTCCACGTGGCGGCCATGTGTCTCTATGCAGTGCACAAAATGCTGCACTGCTCTCTCGCTGATTTCATTGCACAGATGGTAATTGTTCATGAAGATGTGCCGCATGGTCTCTGCTTCAAGGAGCTAAAGAGAGAGGACCGTGCCCTTGTGATTCTGACATGATCAACTTTCTATTCCTTCTACAGTACTTAGATGAATGCCCCTGCCTGTGATCAGTTTTATATTTTATGCAAAACCACAGTGAGTTTTCTGTGCAAGTCTTTGACTAAATGCAGTGAGATCGTTCACTATGAAAAGAAATCTGAGCTCATAAACAAATTTAGTTGGAAAAATGAGCTAATTATCATCCAGGTTAACATGTGGGCAACAGTATTCTTGAGAATAATTTAATGATCGGGTTATTCAAAGTCAGCTCTTCCATAGTATCAGCTGATCCACATTCTACAGGGCAGAGTAAACTCTACCTTTGAGTTGTTTGTATGTATTTTACTCATGGCATTATAGTTCTTTCTTTTTCCTAAAATTAAACTATCTATACTAATAAAAGAGTAATATGCGAATTAGACCAGATTGACCAGACATCTTCCAGACGTCTGACTTCCTTCCAGACAAAGCCACTGTGGTGGGGGCCGAAGCAGAGGCAGTTAGGGGCAATCAGGCCGGCAGGGGAGCAAGCAGTTAGGGGGTGATCAGGCTGGCAGGCGAGGACAGTTAGGGGCAATCGGGCCAGCAGGGGAAGGCAGTTGGGGGCAATCAGGCTGGCAAGGGAGAGCAGTTGGGGGCAATTGGGCCAGCAGGGAAGGGCAGTTGGGAGTGATTAGGCCTGCCAGAAGAGTCAGTTAGGGGCAATCAGGCAGGCAGTTAGGAGCCAGGGGTCCCATATTGTGAGAGGAATGTCCCAGGTTGGAAAGAGTGCAGGCCAGGCTGAGGAACAACCCCTCCCCCCATGCATGAATTTTATGCACCAGACCTCTAGTATACATATAAATAAAATCTTCAACTGCAGGTAAAATTTGTATAGTTTTTCAAGTTTTTTTAACTGTTTCCTTAATGGAAATAAAATATTTCCACATTTAGGGCAAGAACCCCTTCCCTAATAGGGAAAAAAATGAGGTGACGAATAAAATTCTATTCATCAACGCTGCTAAAATAAATTTGATGGACACTTTACTATAAATATTAGAAGTCACTAAAATACTTACACCAGGTGTTAGGAACAAATTCAGATGTTTATGAAGAAGAACTTGATTCTGTGGATTTCCCCGACAGAAATTCTGCAGGAATGTATGGGCTAGGTTCATTATTTCGTTCATCTTTTCATCACTCTGTAAGGTAAAGATTGGCCCATGAAACAGAGAAACAAACAGATCAGAACAAAAAAAAATACTCTCAAAAAATATGTTCTTTCACACATGCACTTATTTTCTCTCTGCCGCTGTTTCATGCTCCAATTTCTCTGTGCCTCTTTTGTTTCTATACCTTTCCTGGTTATCTATCTCCACAGAACACCTCTCCCCCATTTTCTAGATGTTTCTCGCTTCTTTATTCACCCTCCTTTTATCAGTTGTCCTTCTCTCTTTCAACCCCCTCTTTGTTTCACAGTCTACCTCCCTTTCTCCCCAACCTTCCTACCTGCCATTGTGCTTTCCCATCAGAGCTGCCTCTTTCTCCTGCCTCTGACTTACATCTCTGCTCCCTACCTCTCTCTCTGGGTTCCACGTTCTCTCTGGACCCCCCTTCTCTGCTGCACCCTCCAATTCCTCGCATTGCTCCCCTTTCTTGAATTTCTCCTCTTTACCAATATTTCTATGTGTTCAGATCTTCCTGGGGGGTTTATTTTTTTCTCCTCTTTCCCCACCTTCTATATCCCCTTTTCTCAACCTTCTCCCTTCCGACTGCTTGTCCCACACTTCTTCCTCCTACTCCTGCCTCTTCTACTCCTCTGCTCCTGTTCCCTTATCTTCCTGCCTTACCCCAGCTTGTTTATCCTCCCTACTTACTTTTCTCTATTCCCCCACCTCTAAATTCCTCTCTCTATGTATTTTTGTCCTTATCTTCATTCTCTCCTCTTCCCTCTCTCTGTCTCTCCTCTTGCTATTCACTTTGTCTCTTATTTCCACCTCTTCCTTTTTCTCTTTGCTTTCTCTCCTACTTTTCCCCACTCTCTCATTCCTGAGTTGAAGCAAGAAGAATGCAAAGTGAACCTGGAACATTTTAATGTGCAGAATAGCAAAGTATGATGGGACATGTGAGAGGACAGAGACACTGGCTTAACAGGACTCACTTCCTTGGTTAACTCTGGAACAATCTGAGAATCTAAATAAATAATACTAGAAAACTAGGATAACCTATTGAGAAAAACAAGCATCTACAAGTCCATACTGGTAGAAATAAATGAATAAATTGAAAGTGTGATTTAAAATGGAAATTTAGCCCAGCTGGTGTGGCTCAGTGGTAGAGTGTCCATCTATGAACCAGGAGGTCATGATTCAATTACAAGTAAGGACACATGCCTGGATTGCAGGCTCGATCCCCAGTGTGGGGTGTGCAGCAGGCAGTCAATCAGTGATTTTCTCTCATCACTGATGCTTTTTCCTCTCACTCCCTCTCCCTTCCTCTCTGAAATAAGTAATAAAAATTTTTTAAAGAGGGGGAATATTTACATAGTTTCAAAGAAACTCTCCACAAAATACTTATTATCGATAAAGGAAAAATGAGTACTTCACAGCGGAGAATCCTGGCATACATCTTCATCAAGTAAATGTCATCAACAAGGGACAAATCATAATTCTGTGCAGCCTAGCAGGAAGTGGTGGGAAGAACTCTGCATCACTTCTGTTAAGATCCTGACAAAGATGCACAACTGAATCTAATCACGAGGAAACAACAGATGATTCAAAGGAAGGGACAGTCTTCCCAATAGTTGGTCTGCCTTCAAAAGTGTCAATGTTGTGGTAGTTCCAGTATCAGGAGATTTAAATAGACACGACAACCCAACAACACCTGTTTTGCACGTGGATCTTTCTATCAAGGGGCCATGCTTAGGATGATGGGAGTAATGTGAATGGCTTGTGAGGATATAGTGGCAATTCAGTGTCACAGTCTTCCTTGATTTGGAAGGCAGTCATGTGATTACGTAGAAGAGTGTCCTTTTCTGTAGAAAGTGCACACTAAACGGCTTGAGGATGATGGGGAATCAGATGGGAGTCATACTTTCAAATAGCTCAAGGGAAAAAAATGTTCATTGTAACCTTGCTATACATTTAAAAATATTCACCAAAATAAAAAATTAAGGAAAACAAGTAGCTAAGAACTAACCTTTTCATAGGGTATCTGCAGAAGGTCCAGCACCACCGAATGAGCTCCCATGTTTTTCAGTAGCCGTTGATGCTGATTCCGACACTTTTTGTTCTGTATGCAGAGTTTACTTAGCCTAATCAAAATCTTTTAAAAGAAGAGCAGTAATTATAACAAACCTAATATTTAATATAAAAGCTGCACAAAAAATTCTTTACCATGCAAGCATTACCCCACAGAAAAAGAGTTTACTTCTAACCTCTTTCACAATCCGGTAGTTATTGCTCTTATTGCTGTCAATCTGAGGTGTCCTTGTTCCGTCCTGAACTGGACTTAAAATATTTGATTCCTAAGATAAACACAAATATATACATGTTTATGCCATATGTAGCATAGTGATAAATTTACTTATTTTGTAAAAAATTAATAAATACATTTTGTAATGAATTATTCAACTTAGACATTTCCTTTTTAATTTTTTTTATCCAATGCAAAGTTCCTTGGCTTGCATGAGTCATGCAAATTACCATTTCACAATAACAACCAAATTATAAGAAAAGTAAACAAAAAGTTACCACATACAACATTATCAGAGTATTTCCTTATGCTAAATTTATCAGACAAATCATGACTTTATATTGCCTATAAGAGAAGGTATAGTAAAAATTCAGGGCATAAAAGTATAATTATGTCATCAGAGATGAACATCAGGGGGGAAAAGAAAGAGTAAAGAAGAATGTAATAATAGCTGAAAAACATGGGAAGAAAGAACACCTTAACCCAAAAATTCCTTGGCAGGTTACCATGACATCCTTAAAGGCCAACCAAGCAAGTACAAAACCATGAAAATGAAGAAAGTAAAATAACATTTATATTAAAAATAACCCATTTAAAATCAATAAGTTAATAAAGTTTATTAAATGACCTGAAACAGAAAAAAAAAGTATTTCATTATAGCAACCATTATCTGTGGCATATAATAAAAAACAAATATATAGTGCACAGATTTTAAGTATCAAGTATTGGAGTCACCATATAAAAATAAAACATCAGTTACAAACAACTTAATACATGAACACTTATTACTACCCAATTCCTGCCTGGTATTAGGTAAGATGAATGAGTCTAAAAGAAATATAAGATAAGGTCCTTCCCACAAGAAAATCAGAGTCTACCTAAGAAAACAGAAATATAAAAAATAAGGATTTGAACTGAGCAGAATTCACTACTCAGAGAGAGAGGGGAAATAGCTCTTGCATTAGACAGCTTTATGAAGAAGGTCAAGTTGAAGCCAAGGTCTTGAAAGATGAAAACCAGTTAAGTATGCAAGATTTGTGGGAAACTTGGAGATACTTGTCAGGTGAAGAAGTTTCCTTAGACAAAGGCATTGTGGAAAAACAGACATCACAGTGTGCAGAAAGTGGCAAGAATTGACCGGGTATATTGCAAGAGAGTGTGTAATTAGGTAACACAGAACATGATTACCTCCCTGATTTACAATATGTACAAAATTGCAAGTGGAAAAAATGTCTAGTTAAACTTAGGTTAAAAAATAAAATAAAATAAAATAAAATAAAATAAAATAAAATAAAATAAAATAAAATAAAATAAAATAAAATAAAATAAAATAAAATAAAATAAAATAAAATAAAATAAAATAAAATAAAACACCTATATTGGTGTTGAACTCTTTCAATTAAAGATGGCCCTACTCTAAACTCAGAAAAAAGTAACAAAAATATATAAAGTCAATAGATATTATTTCATTTGTACCAAGCTGTTGTTCCTAATCTGTTCCATAACAAATCACAAAGTTAATGCAAACCAAGAAAGACAGAAAAAAACTTTCCTTGAAAGTCAAAGAGTCAATGAAATATTGCAAGCATATTACCTTGATCAGCATTGAGCCTTTGCCACATCTCGGTAAGTTTTATATTCCTTTTTTGCTTCTCTTTAATCAACTATTGTCAAAGATGGAGGTTCCCAACCTGAACACTATCTTAGCAAGTAACCTCTTAGGCCAATTTTACTGAGCATATGGAAATCCCCTACACCCATTTCCCTTTTCCATCTGAATACTTCCAGTATCACCCACAAGCCGCTCTACCTTCCTTGCTGTACGTCAGAGAGAAAAAACTCTTGATGCTCAGGTTTTTTAAATGCCATCTTCCCTGCCTCTTCTCCCAGCTTCCTCCCTTCTCTTGTGCACAAACAGTTTTTACCCTCTACTGATTCTTTTTTTTCTCTTTAAAAACATGGTCAGGTTGAGGCTAACCAAGCACTTGCAGTGATCCTACCCATTCTGGGAAGTAGTCTTGCATCTCCAATTACTGTTCCCACTGAATCTCTTGAAAAAAATAATCTATAACAAATTGTGCTAACAGTGTTGTATGTGCCAATGACTTTCATTATCAACTTTCTTTTAGCACTTGATTTGGTGGTTCACTACCATTTTCTTTAAACCCCTCTCTTTTTGTTTTATTCTGACACTAGAGGCCTGGTGCACAGATTCATGCACTGGTGGGGGTGGGGGGGCATGGCCTGCAGGGATCAGCCCACTGTGAAAGCACAGCTCATCCCAGTCAGCCAAGTGGCGCTCCCACTGTGGGAGTGCATTGACCACCAGATGACAGCTCCTGTGTTGAGCGTCTGCCCCCTGGTGGTCCAGTTGTTCTGGTGGTTCTGCCATTCAGTTACTGGGCTTTTATATATAGAGATGGTACTCTTCCAGATTACCTGCTACCTTTCTGACTACCTTGTCTCTTTCATTCAATAGAATTAGTACAGTAAAATGTAAAAAACATGAACACTGAAAGGCTTCGAAACATTACTATAGAATTCCAGAGCTGTGTCATTTATCTATACAAATAAATTCTAAGAGGAAAATAAAAGCAGTTCAACTCCACTCCAGGTAAACAAGAAAAAAAAAACAAGCAAGATATTGTCCGCAAGACAATAAACACTAAGTGAATCCTAAAACATTATAGAAAAAGATGAAAAACCATATATGTAAGTGAAGCCAGTGCAGAGGAGAGAAGGAGCCCAAGTGCTAATACAAATGGGAAATATTTAGATAGAAAGAGATTGGAGATAAGAGAATGAGGAAAATGGGGTTTCTAGTTGATAGCAACAATATCTTATAGTAAGAAGTGGAAATTGTAAAATCTAAAAATGTAATTAAATTTCCCTTTCTGATCATAAATGTGAAAGCTGAATTTTATTTTTTAAATATGCTTTTATTGACTTCAGAGAAAGAAGGGGAGAGAAAGGGCTAGAAACATCAATGAAGAGAGAGAATCATTGATCGGCTGTCTCCTGCATACCTCCTACTGGGGATCAAACCTGGGCTTGTGCTTTAATTGTGAATCTAACCAAACTGTAAACTCCCTGGTTCATGAGTCATTGCTCAACCACTGAGATACACTGGCTAGATGTAAGCTGAATTTTTAAAAGACCTTATTGCCCTGCTCAGGTGGCTTGGTTGATTGGAGCATAGTCCTGTACACCAAGAGGTTGTAGGTTCAATTCTTGGTCAGGATACATATCTAGGTTACTGGTTCAATCCCCAGGCAGGGTGTGTACAGGAGGCAATTAATAGTTGTTTCTCTCAAACATTAATATATATATATATATATATATATATATATATATATATATATATATAATCTTTCTCTCTTTTCGCTCTCTCTCTCTCTTCCTTTCTAAAGGCAATTTTTTAAAATCATATTCATTTTTTTCTAGAAGAGAATATTAAAGAAAACCAAGTTTGTGCCACAAAGCAGGATTAAGATATTACCAAGTCTAAGGACTAACAAAGCTCCTAGGGTAGAAAATAGAACTTTTGGATCTATATCAACTTAAAAAAAACAACAACAAAAAATAGTTAAAATGAAGGCAAACCTTTAGCAGATATATTCAAGTCTATTTTTTAAACAATGACCTGAAGAAAAAGCAACTGTCTTATTTTAAGGAACTTAATCTCACACACGGCCTACTACATTACTAAAAAGCTCTTTAGTTCAGCCTAGGGGAGGATATAGACAATGCTAACCTCTGTTAAGTATAAGAATTATGAAGAAAAACTATTTTGATTAAAAATTGCCAGCAGTCTACAAAAGGAGTCAACACTGAAGAATTCAATAAACAGTCCATTTTCATTTAAGAAAATAATTTAATATAATTAAACTGAACACAAATATGGACCCATAGAACATCTGGATGATTCCAAAGCAGTGATTAGGGAAATTTAAGAATTATGTAAATTACATAAGCATGGGTTTGTTTTGTTTTCTTATTTTGATGCCCAAATGCTCTAAGTTGAAGGTGTTCCAAAAGTTTTCCTCCAGCAAAGAGGAGAAATTGGTTGTATTTTTATATCTTATACAACTTTCATCCTAGGTCAGTGGCCAAATCTAAAAGTCCTGGCTTTATTCTAATGACAAAATACTAGTAAGGTGGAAAATGTAGAGGTATAATTTGATTCATGGTCCTGAAGCTGAGTAGGCTCCAAAAAAATGTGCAATACTAAGAACAGTGGATGCTTATAAATATCCAAATTTTCATTTTGACAACAGTGATGAAGAAAAATGACTGCACTCCAAAAGTCCTTGTACTTTATTCTAATTGCCTTCTATTATCTGGAAGAATTTAACATTATTCCCTGTAATGCAATATGGAAAACTACTTAAGTGATTTCAGAGAGGTAGTTAGATTTTTAACTGCATTGCATATACTGTAACATAAAGCAGTAGATTCATAAACAATACATCAACAATAGTCTAGAAGAATCTAGAATTTTCTAGAAGAGTCTGCAAACTGGAAAGGCAGCAGGATTCTAGGTAAAGACTCAAAGAGTGAATATCTAATCAAATATTGGATCTTATGGCCTCCATTCACAATTTATTTTGCATCAGACAAGGACACTCATATATCAAGAGTAAAATGATACAAGAAAATAATACAATATGAACTATATAGTGAATTAAACATTGGCACCAATAATGGAGATCCATCTCCCTCATTTAAACAAGGGAAATCATGCTTTTAAGAAATAACTTTCCAAATCCAACAATGTAGGACTGCCCGCACCTGCAGCTGGATGATTAAAATAACTTAGTGCAGCCGGGACCGGTTTGGCTCAGTGGATAGAGCGCTGGCCTGCGGACTGAAGGGTCCCGGGTTCGATTCCGGTCAAGGGCATGTACCTTGGTTGCGAGTACATCCCCAGTGGGGGGTGTGCAGGAGGCAGCTGATGGATGACTCTCTCTCCGGTTCTTAACTCTGTGTCCCTCTCAATTCCTCTCTGTGTAAAATCAATAAAATATATTTTTAAAAATAATTTTAAAAAAT